GTGTAACCGTTCCCTGGATTCGACGAACTTGAACGACGGTCCGGACGGAGACATCTACTGCCGCGGTTGCTACAACCGGAACTTTGGGCCTAAAGGCGTGGGCTTCGGAATGGGCGCGGGTACCCTCACGATGGCCTAATTGGTAGGCCTTACTCCCTCACACGCCGCTCGAGGAAAACCCTCGATCCAGTCTTATATATTAATGTAAATACATCTATATATAGAGGCGTCTGACTGTGTATCCGACGACAGACGAACGCGCTGCTCCGGGAATTTCGATTTCTCCTATCCTAGCTTACGACGATTCGATAATGTCGATGACTACATTTTCATTATCGCGAACAGCGCTGTAGTGGAGAATAATGGTGTCTATTTGATTCCATGGTCGATGAGGCTCGATCGCGCACGAGTAAGCCACTGCAGGCTGTTGATAATGTTGCGATATGAAATCGCGCATTGTGTGCGTGAGATCGTATTACACAGATAAATTTATTATTGAACTAATTATATAATTTATCTATTCGTAATACGAAACAAGATACAAATTTGTCGTTTTAATAATGGCACAGTAACTTTTCCCACTCCAAAATATATGAAGCTTTGAAATTAAAGAGATCAAGAAAATACGTTTAGAAGGACATAAAAAGAACATAAAAAGAAGTACAAGATTTTTTATGTATCAATTAATAGGTTTACTTAATGCAGCACATTTATTTTTTAAAGATATCGTACCGTAAAATTTTCTTTTACCTCAAATTTCAGATTTGAAGGGATCGACTTTGCCATTATTAAAATAATGCTTCATCCGATCGCAAGTTATCGACAATATGTGAATTTATTCTTGCCGTCAATTAGACCCATTCATGCTCAATCGTCACGATGGCTTGCTGAATGCTATGCTATGAAGATTTTATGGGATTCGTGAACGTATTGCAAGAGTTAAAATTGAAGTGCCAGTTCCATTCGCTTAGTTGTTCAATGATTCTACTATGTTTCATACAATTTTCATAGTAACCTGAGCGATTCTTGATGACGACACTACACGCAAACGATTAATCTGATGACGAGCAATTATGAACGTACGAAACTTTTATTATTTTCTTTCGTTTTCCTTTTTTATTCTTGATCAGGAAATAGGAGATTACGATTCAACAATCGATCCGCGAGATGTCAGATTTAAAGTTGTAAAAACACTGGCAAGTTGAGCATCTTTGAATCTATAACTATTTTGGCCAAATTTATTGCTTAAATTTTTTGTTTCTTTTATATTATAATATAAAAATAGAAAATCTTTCTGGATAATTTCTGATTTCTATATTTCTATTTATTTTTGTACTTGTCGATCAAAATTTTAGTTTGGATAATTAAAGACGTCTTTTTTTTCTTATTATTTCGATCCAATCTGACTTGTTAAAATATTGGCTTCTCTATCAGATTTGTCGAAATAAATAAAAATTAGGAGACTATTTCATGTTTACAGAAAGCTCAAGAGACGGAGATATTTTCAATAAGTAACAGAGTGTATTTCGGTCCACCAATGAAGAAAATTGCCAGACTGTTTTACATCGCTGATATTGCTGTTTAACATTTTTTAATAGCATTATTCAAGATTAAGCATATTAGATAATGTTTTTTTCTTCTTTCTATTAGGCCAGCGAAACAGAGTGCATCACGGAAATTAAAGATGCGCTGCTTTTTAACTGTTTCGCATAACAGATTGAAATTATGCAGTAATGACTGCAAAAATACTCTACCATAGATAAGTATCATTTCTATAACTTCAGGGCAATGATTTTGATATTTACAGCGTAATAATTAAACATGGCATCGATTGCAGCGGATATTCGACGACGTAATAAATACGAAAATAACAATCTATATAACCGGACTACGACCAGCAGCAACGATGTAACCAACGACTAAGACGAGAAACTAATTTAATTATGATTTTCAATAAATGTGTACTTGAAATTTTCTGAACATTCTTTTTTACCCAAACGTAATAAAGTAAAAACGATTTTTAATTTATATAAGAAGTATAAAAAAAATAATAGGAACTACTATAGAATAATATAAAATTAATATTAAACATAGATTAATTAAAATAGCAATATAAATGTTGGCTAATATAGTGCCTAAAAGATAATAATTTTTTAACGAAATTGGGAATCACTGGAGTGATTTTAACGGAGAGAAGTGAGTATGAGTATGGTGTAAAACACTAATTTCATATATTTATAGCAACAACTGTACAAGTTCCGGTTCACACATATCGATAATTACCATTCGTTAATCTTAACAATAATGGCGGGAGCAACGAAGCTGTTCAGAATTCACGAACGCTTCCTGGCTTGCGGAGACGAGCCTTTCCCCTCTCGTCGCCGTCGCGTATAATCGATAATGCGCGTCTTTCGCGGAGACGGGCGAAAGCGCGGCTCGCTACACGCCAGTAATACGCAGTTTTGTAAAAGTGCCTCGTTAAAAAATCACATTCGTTATCGAACTGGGATATGGATTGCCTCGGGACACGATAGAAATTTTCGCACGCTATTTCCATTAACTTTCAGAGGACCTTTACGTCTCTGCAAAATATCAGTTTCTTTGTAATACTTTCTAGAGTTTTATAATAACTAAGCGATTTTTTGTTCGTTATGCATCAGACGATTTGTTCTAACTAATTAACGTTTTAATACTTTATAAAATTATCGTATTGGAATACAAACTACTTTTTATTAAAAAAAATAGAAAAAAACATCGTAACTAGGGTTGACCCGAGCTTCTTTGTAAAAATTCGCTTTTTTTTAACAAGCAGGGCAATTTCAAATCCGTCTCCTTTTTACAAAAAGTCGATTTTTTTAGAGAAGCAAATTAGAATCGGACATCTTTAAGTATAACAATTTTAATTATGTTTAACGTAGCTACAATTATTAGAGCAATTAATAGCATATTGATATCTATAATTGATATACTTGAGAGAGATGTATCCAATTACTGGTCCTCTAAAAGTTAAGGCGGATTTGACGAGACTCATGAAAGGAAAAAAATATTTTCAGGTGAACTATACATACCTTTCATCTTAACTAATGTACATTTATACATCTCACTATAAAATAAATTCAGTCGTAATCGATAAACTATACATACGCAGAATAAGGTACGCTCGTTATCGGCGCACGACGAACGAGTCAGACCACTGCCGAAATTGTCCATAGTATATCGTGATAAGACAGGTACCCTCGCTCTTCTTGGTACGAGACACACAGGACGGTATGTAAGTATTTATCTTAAGGGCTTTCTAAGAAGAAATTCCGTCGATCTGCGAATTAACGCGAATTAATTATCTCGCGTTACACAGCGATTCTTGATATAAGACTTTCCTCCTAGAGTTTTTTACATTTTTACCGAATTGAAATTAACAAATTACTATATCATAGCTCTGCAACAGAAGTTTTATAACGAAATAGAATATACATATAAAATTAATGGTCAATTAAAGTGGCAATCTTAATTTGAACTTTGGTTATTAGTTTTTCTTTTTTTTTACGTTCTTTTAGATTAATATGGGTGTTTTGAATATAAATGAAAAATATCAATATTAATATAAATATTTTTTAGTTGAGATAAATATAAATTCCCTATCAAAAACGTAATTTAACATAATATTATTCTCAGAATACTTTTCTTTTTTGTAATTTAGTAAAATGAATTGTATCGAAAGTCATTTTTATTTTGACAGCAAGATTTCGCTCTCTTCCCTTTGTTTATTGATCGCTGCTTTTAACATTTAATTAATTAATTATTCGACAGGTCGCTGGAATCGCGCATTAAATCAGTGCGAAGTACGTTCGATAATTGCGTCAAGGATTTTACTGTGGAAGTATACGTTTTTTGCTACTTGATACACATAATAAATATCGTAAGAGATTTTCGCAATGTATAGCCATAATTTTCAGTACTTAAATCAACCCCGTTAAACTAAGTCTGTTAAATCCAGTGATAATCGCGTGATTAATAGTACTTTTATGGATACTATTCTACGCTGTGTTTTTTTGTGTTAATCCTAGCTTGACATTGTTAATAGAAAATAATACGAATAGGAAGTATGTACTGAAAACGAAAGTTTAATGTCCCACGAGGGTTAGCACAATATTCTAATAGCGTTTTCATTGGTTCGGATAAAATCCTTATCTTTCTGTCTTATGATAATTATAATAAAACGAATAAATAATTGAAAACGATGTAATATATTCAGGATATTTTAAGATTAGTTATTTTACATTAAATTAATATAAGACATAATAGTTCTTATGTGATACCCTGAATAAATTAATTTTATTGAAAGTCATCGTTTTATTAAATTTTCAAGAAAATCATTTATTCAATTAAAAAGTATAGAATAAATTTTTAATTTAAAGAAAAGGTTCTTTATATCTAACTTTATTATAAGTCACATATATTATATTTAGATTAATTTTATTGGTTCTTTTTATCAAGTTGTCTTAAAAAATATAGAATTATTTATATTTACATAATTTAGTGAGTCAACGTTATTAAGTTAATAAATATAAGTGTCTCATTCTTATTCCTCGGGGACATTAAAATTGTCATTTAGAGTAAACATTCGCATAAACTCTATTATTCTCGATATCAACTGGAATGTGATACGAGTTTAAATCCACATTTATATTACTTTTCAATTATTTTGGTTAGTCTCGATTTCAATAGATGCCTGAAAACAGCGTTTCAAGTTATGCCTTCTTTAAAATTATTTTGTCAAATAATAGATAGGTACAGCATACTTGTATCAACAAAAACAATATTGTACATCATACAATTGTACGCTATTTTCTTTTTCTTTTCTCTATCTACAAATACGACAACGTGAAGATTAAAGCAACCGGGAAGAAATCAAGGAAACATATATTAGTCTCTCAAATGTTATTACACTTATCACAGGAATGCAGAATAAACATAGCATATGCTATAAAACTGCTCGAAATATTTGATGTTACGAATTATTTCTCCGTCAAACTTAAGAGACAGTATCTGATTGGCTTCTGAATCTCTGCACGATAATACCACAATCGAAATTCACTAACAATAAGTTATATTCACCTCGACTCCTGATTTTTCAATGATTGGCATTTAACGCTCTGTCTTGTGTGCGCACAAATTTCGGAATGTATCTCAGCTACGTCAAAGCAAGCTGACACACCTTCTGCCCGTTCTCCCGACTGTCTAAATGTATCTTTGTCAAAAATATGAGCGGCGCGTCTTACCGGAGTTCTTAAAGATACCGCATGTGCGGATGGGCATCGACGAAGTCACGTGCCACGGGAAACCGGGGCTCGGGAAGGAACCTGGACGCTTCCTGAACCTGAACGGCGTGTCGTCTCCGTGTTGACGAGCGGGCGGCTCTCTGTATTTACATTCTCCGCCAGGCCAGTGACGGGGATAGACGGTTTAGTAGAGATTCGCAGTTTTCAGCGGTAGCGGGTCTAACAGATAGGGCGGCAGGGCCGCCGAAAAGGGCCTGGGACTGCAGGAGCCCCAGCCACCACTGCCGCCACCGCTGCTTCCCCTGACGTTGGGCGAGCCGTCGCTTGTGCCATCCGTGTTGTGCTTCACGTTCACCAGGTTCTGATTAGTGATCGGCTTGATCTCATTCGACGAAAGCACGCTGTTCGAGCCACCGGGTGGCGTCGCCGGACTCCTCGGCGAGCGTCCCTCCGCTTTCACGGTACCGGCCACGGGGCTGGACGCGCCGCTGTCGACCCCGATGCCACTTTGCGACGTAGACTTCTGCTGGGCCAACCTCTCCTGCTTGCGAAACTTCGCTCGCCGATTCTGGAACCATACCTGCAACATTGACACAATGTCCGACGCCGTTAGATCTTATTTTTATTCTTCCTTGATGATTTACGTTCGATTTGCTGAAACTATAAAAAGATAACTAAATTCATTGTGTATACACAGAGAAAAAGGTTTCTTTGGATTTAGTATTCCTATTTATTTGATTAAAATTTGTTTTATTGAAACAACATATGCTTGTACGAAATATTATTTGTTTGAATAAAAATTTTGTTGTTTCATTCGAGAAACATCTATTGTTTGACAGAAATAACATTATTATTTGAAGTAATATCTTTCAATTAAATAATATATTATTTGGTTACAATGAATACAAACAATGAAACAAATTATTTGTTTGAAAATGGCAAAATGTATTGGTATGGTAGAGGTTATGATAGAGGTCGATGCAAATAATTGCTTTCTTTCTAGAACAACCATTATAATTTTTGGCCGAAATTGTGAAAACAATGGCTTATACGTCTAACAACAGGATTAAACGAACAGCACTATATGCTATATCAATTATGTTTGTGCAGTACAATTTGATCACGCGAATGCCGAAGATAGACATTATCTGTTCAAACAAATAATGTATTTAAGACAAAGATCTACATTGTTTCAAATTCAAACAATCGCACTTATTGATTTAAACATGGTTTGTTTGGACCATTCTAAATAACAAATTTATTTGGATACAATAAAATTTATTAAATCCAAAGAAATCTTTTTCTCCGTGTACTTTTTCAAGATATAATTGTACTAATATTACTTAGATATTTTTCTTTCGTCTATGACTATAAGATTGTAATATAAGCAATAACAAATATTTAACAAAGATATATTAATGTTATAATTTAGTTGACATATGAATAGCATTACTGTTAAAAATTTATGTCATGTGTATCTTTACCTCCAATTACAAGTGCTAAATAGAAATCGAGATTGTACAAATATATGTTCATGCTAAATCTATGATTAACTTCTTATGATCTATTTGAGATATTCTTCTATTTATACGCGTATTTGGTGACATATTTACACATATTTATGACAAATTTAAATCCATAGTTATTTAGATTATTTTTTAATAAAATGATCGCAATTAGTTATCTATTAAAAAAAATAGAAATGCTCACAAAACATAATGATGATAACAATAACGATTCCCGATAGACAGGATGATTATAAAATCCTTACGTAGGATTTGAACTTACATAATTTCCGTTCTATATTTTGATAAGATAAAATCCGTTATTGACTAATCCGTTAAAAAAAGTAAAAGAAAAATTTATTTCAATTTTACATACATTTATTCGTGGGATTGTTTCTCATTCATATCTATCGTCTCATTATGTATCTAGTTCTAAATATATTTTGCAGTTGATTTAAAATGAGATACATTAAATCAGATTAATCCTAATCTGTCTAAAAAGCGACGTTTTATTAAATAATAATCTTAATACGAGTTTCTATAAAAAGAAATGAATAGATTTAAATCTAATGAACACGGAGGAAATCAAGAAATCGATTCAACTCTCTTCCAATCTATTATATTTTAGAAAGAAATTTTCATAAATAAGAGATTACTCTTAATACGTAATAAATTTCACTAAATTGCTATTTTAATATTTTTAAAAGATTAATTTCATTAATTGAATTTGTAAAACAAAAGTAATGAAAATTTAAAACTGCACAAGAACTTTATAATTATCTTTTGTGTAATGGAACTTTGTTCATACTATGTAGATGTAAGTTGATATTTAATTCAAAATACATATTTTCTGTTAGGAACAATTAATAGCAAACAATTACTAATTTATCCAGAAGTTGAAATATAGCTTGGAGTCTATATTGAAGATTGAATCAAGACTTAAGTTTACGATATCTACGAATGGCAAATATTACGTTTTTATATTTTCTGTCGTAAAACGAGAAATTGTCGCACGAAGCGCGTCAGAGAGTTCGGCGCGGCTCGTCAGAGCGAAGCGGTGAGGCTGGCTGTTCGGCGCGCTCGTAATTGGCCCTAGCCGGCCAAATGAAATATTTAACGAATAAAATAAACAGACACCTGCGGTGACCTGCATGTTAAAGTAGCGGATTTATTTGCTTTAGCGTTTATCTGACCGGTGGTGCTGCCGCTCATCCACCCTTTTCCCCTTCAACCCCCTATTTCGCCGCTCTGCCCCCACTGCATCCCTGGACTCCCTTACGGTGCTGCGAATTCCCCTTCAATCTCCGTCCCTCCTCGTCACTCCCTAAACCGTTCGTTCCTCAACGTGTGCGCACGTGAATCCCACCCCCGGATTTTCCAGGGGCGGCTACGTTCAGGGCTCGTAGGACGTAACTGCTCGAGCTGTCGGAGCTAGGGGAGACTGTACGGGGGTTAGAAGGGACGCGAGATGGGCGGCGGAGGGTGGCACCGCGGCGACGGTGGCGGCGGCGGCGGCGGCGGCAGCGGCAGCGGCGACGGTGGAGGCGGGAGGCGACGGCGGGAGCGCAGGACACCATGATGAACGTGATTGCCCTTTCTGGCTGGCAAACACTGGGGCTATTGGATTTTTATCAGCTGCTGCTACTGCTGCTATCGGTTGTCGCGCGCCGGTTGCGCAACCGGCGTGGCGATTTTTCGTGAAATTCGAATCGTAACTACGCGACGAACACCGTGAGCCCCCTCGCGTGCTAATTAATCCGAAATTGATTACACCTGGCATCGCGTTTCTTCGTGATCTGCCGTTGATTGAAAAAAAGGGAAAAAAACAAAAGCGAGATGCAAAATCAAGCCAGAAAGGCGGCTAGATCTTTCAATTTAGTCTTGTTACATAAATATTTTGAGGAAAAGAAGGGGATTCTGTGTTTTAAAACTAACGAGAGAGAGAGAGAGAGAGAGAGACACAGCCGCTAAAAAGTTTTACGTAAAAAGATGAAATTAATTCGATAAAAAATAGAATTGTCGATATTTCATGATGATTGTGTATTTAATGACAACATGCTTAATTTCTTAGAACTCGGATTTTTTCCAAACTTTAAAAATAACAGCAAAATAGCAAAAAAAATGAATTTGATTAACTTTTTATACTTTTCCTGCATAAAGTCGGGCATAAGACCAATTCTGCTGTTTATTTTTTTTTAATTGTCTCGCGATTATCGACTAGGTCATGAATGTGCTGTCCGTGGTATGTGCCAAAGACAACGCTAATAATTCGTATTTGGCCACGGACCAAACCTCGAGCAGATCGTAGCATGTGTGCCGTTGTTTGCCGAAGTGACGACGACGATGAGGCGAATTAGGGTGAGAGAGCGCGTTGCGTGCTCGCGCGCGCGCGCGCGCGTGTAGCGTTAATGTTAAACAAATACACTGCGCCAAAATAAAGTGCAACAAGGCATATCGACAGATGTCCAGCACCTTCTGGATAAATATTTAATCATCTCTTTAGACGGGAACTGTACGGGAATTCTACCCTCCGCTCTCACATACGCTTCGATACGTGTCCGTGTGCACGAATTCGTCTCTTTAGTTTGTTTTATTGCTTTATCTTTTACATTTTATTATTTTATCTTTCTTACATATTTTTATTATGTATCTTGTTAATTTAAGGACAGACTTATTTGGTAGTCCTCCACGAATTCTTTTCTTAACATTCTTAAAGTATTCGAACGATTTTTTAAATCTTGTTCTCCATTTTGCATTATAATGAAATGAATAAATCACGCAAAGATGTAACATAATCAATTTTATAAATGATGATGATGTTCTTTTATTTCGCGATTAAATATTTAATTTATATGATGCGGTTCTCATAACATTTTCGTCAGATTTTTGCGTAGTATTTTCTTTGGATTATAATGTTAAATAACATCTTAATTCTATATATCTACTTTTCAAATTAATTTCCCATTTGCAATAATATTAATAAAGATTTAATTATATTACAAGTAATTACAATTAAAAATTTAACATATAAGTATTGTACAATCAAAGATAATCTTTTACAACTTTTTCACTAAAAATTGATTTTTCAAATTGGTTACACGTTTACTTAATACATAGAGACTACTAGTATACTTAAGTAATAATCATGAATACATGTATAGATCTAATAATGTATTTGGCATTAATTATAGATTAATAGTTAAACGTTGAGAAATTTATTTTTAACTTCTTACAGAATTTCTATATAAATTTCAGAATTCTTTATAATTTCTATATGATTTTATAACTTTTAAAAAAAATGTCAGATTTTTTTATATGAAGTGGATTTTTTATATGAAGTGGAACTTTTTATAAGTACTCAAAAAGTCTACATCTTTTCAAAAAATCTTTATTATACATACATGAATTATGGAATATTTTAAGATTTCTCATTCTATAACTTTTGAAGCAAATTTATAAGTCTGAAGAAGGGGTTAAAGTATTTTTTTTAGAAATATATGGTAATATATAAATTTAAAGTAAAAAATTCTTAAAAATATGAAATTGTGAGATCTTTTTACCAGGGACATTTTACGTTCATATACAGCAATCGTTAATTTAATTAGAGCAAATTATTCTTACAATGGTAGCTATTTTTATGCTTGACATTGTTTGATCAAGATTATATCTGTGTTGATGTCGATGATTAAAGTAAACAGGCGTCGAGGCATTAAGAATTCTACAGAAGTACCGCACGATGGTGCAATTTACGCTACGCTTATCCGTTTGATTCACCCTATGCTAGGCTTCGTCGTGATTTTCCCTTCTCGAACCAGTTAACCGCGGATTTCGCTCGGTTGCTTTCTGACCTCGGGCCGATCTAATTTGGTATCGGCAAGATATATTTCGCGATGTGATTAGATTTGTCGGTGAGAGAGCAGAATATGAACATATGCAAAAGAAGTAGAATGCATAATTCTGTACTAATAATAATACTCTATAATATAAATGTAAATCCTCTAATAAAATTTCAATTTCATATTTAATTATGAAGATATTTGTAGATGGATAAAAAAAATTGTAAAGAGAATTATATAATCAAATTTCTGTTAAAATGTCGACAGTGTTAATTAAACATTTTGCAAATGAAAGAAAATGTGTGTACAGAAAGCCCACTTATTATGATATAATAAAATATATAATATATATAAGTATTGCATAAAAATATATTTTTAAATATTTCACGTTTCAATTCCTTAATCTCCATCGATTTCAAATACATTATTTGTTTATTTTTTCCATTATTTTAATAGAAAAGAAGTTTAATTCTATATAGTAAAACGGAATAATTTTATTTCATGATTAAGAAAAAATATCAATTTAAAAAAATCTTAAATTAAATCTCTTTTCTCTCTCTTTCTCTCTCTTATTAAGTTTGGTATGTCTAATTAATTTGTAATGGAGCCATTCCGACGATCGTACCAATAAAAGTGAATGTCTCCACGCTACACGGAGCAGACCGTAATTAAGACTGAGATGGCAGGCTGATGCGACTTCACCCTAAACTTATTTCCTTAATTGAAAGTCTGGATCGCTGCAGTTCGTATACAATATATGTACAGTAATAAGATAGAATACAAGAAAAACTATTATATTAAATCTGATTAAATTTACACTCTGCATTCTTTCTCTATTTCCCATCTTTTCCTCTCTTCCTCCTCTCCTTCTTCACTCTCTGTTTCTCTCTCTCTCTCTCTCTCTCTCCCATTTACTTTTAGAATATACACATTGAGTGTATGTTTTAACATGTAACATTAGCTGTAACATGTAAATAGCTAGCAAAAATCTGTTCATTTATATACAAAAATATTACTACCGCGACATTTAATAAAAATCATTAATAAAAGCAGCACTAAATTTCTTACAATTTTTAAATACAAATCTTTAAGATTGTATCGGTCTTTTTGAAAGAAGCCAAATCTAAGCTCCCTTTTGTCCCTCTCAAGAATAGTAACAATTTTTTCTAAACGTTTCTAATTAAAATAATGCTACATTTTTAGATTGCAAGATGTATAAACGGTAAGTGTCATACTCACAATCGGAAAATGTCATGAAAAAATTATACCCGCCCTTTCTGCTATCAGTCGAATTGTAGAATAGCATGAGATTGTTATCTCTAAACGCGCACAAACTGACGTGGCTGCGAGACGTGACGGAATTATTCTTGGCGGCGCGCATCCTGGTCGTTGCACTTCTTCTCTTCACACTTGCTGACATCCTTGATGTGTCGTTCCGCCACGGATGATACCCAGCAGGACAGTTTTTAATCACTGTAAGTGGATCTACATAGAGCTCGCAATTACCGGCGCACACTCTGGCATGGGCCCCTTGTGTATCAGCCCAGCCCCGACACTAGCCACCAGAACCCGAGCGAATGTTTTCCCCATTTCATACACACACACACACACACACACACACACACACTCACACATACATCCCTTCGTGCCACCAACTGTAGCAACCCCTCGACTCCCGGAATCGTCTCTCGTTCCCAGCCCTACACCTTCCCCTTTGTTCATCTTTTCTGTCTCATTCCCTCTTTCTCTCCTTCTTGTGTTGCTATCTCTTAGACTTCTTTCTCTTATAGTAGCTTCTCATTCTAAGTATTCATTTTTCTTTTATATCTCTCTCTGTTTTCCTGACTATCTTAAGGTTTCAGTATGTATCCCTTTCTCCTTCCCTTTTCTCATCTCTCTTAAAGCCATGACTTCTTTTCTGTCTCGTTTTTACCTGTATCCCTTAGATTTCACATCTCCTTCTATCTTTTTTAAGATTCTCTCTTGTTCCTAGCATTCCCTTCTCTTTCACTTACATTCTTCTCTTTCTGTCATTCGGTTTCTCCCCTTTTCCCGTTTTCTTCTTCTTCAACTTTTACGTCTGACTCCCGGACTTTCTCGTCCCATCCAGAACAAACCCTTAATCGTAAGTGTACTTGTCTCTGTCCTTCATTCCCGCAAGACACCGGGGGACATCTTGTTTTACTTGACAGCGACGTATCCCACTGAGGGACGCAAGAAGAAAATTTACGTTGATTTTTCGACTGCGCATCGTATAACTCCCGAGGCTTTCGAGATTGCCTTGTCCGACTTTTAACTTCATCTCTCGAACGCTCACTTTAGATGAACACGTCAAAGTTCAAGTATCAATCAATTGAACGATGATAAGTTATATCTTGGTTATAGTTTATATAGTTTATATATTGATTCTATAGTCTTTATAATATTATATATATTGGATATTTTTATTAAAAATAGTATAGCAGTTTTTTTATCTATGTTAAATATTGTATTATGTCTGTTTTGAATCGTATATTTTTTATTTACAATTAATATAATTATATTTTGATACTACCTTCGAAAAATCCTGTTTTATTTTAATTATTATCTTTAATTTTAAAAACTGAATTTCTCTAAAGAATTGGTTAGAAAATAAAGCATTTATTCTTTTCCTAATAATAAGATTTTAATTTATTCCTTAATTTACAATGTTAAATAATTTCACATTCTATTTGTATATCATATATAGAGGAAGGTCACCAATACCGACATACTACTTTGTTTTTAGACAATATTTCTTAAACAAAAGATAAAAATGCAACTTCAAAAACATAAATACAAACTAAAAAGTGTCTTCTATCAGATAGTATAAGCAGTTTTTATAATACTGTTTGCAATTTTGCAATAATTAAGTT